GGATCCGAAAGGTTTTAACTTCGACCTGGGTTTCTAAATCGCATTCGAATCCCTAAATTCTACGCCTTTGATTTCGCTCCTTTGCTACTTCTGTGAATTTCCTCAACTTCGCTAGGGTTTTCCCCCTTTCTGGGTTCGCCGCCGGTAGCTACCGAAGTTTGTCTGTTCTTCGTCCTCGGCGAATTTGGTCACTGGTGGGTTTTACAATGGAGAAAGTTTCTTCTTTGGTAAGCATTTTACTTCCCTTAATCGGATTCGTTTACCCTTAATCGAATTTGGTTTGTTTGCTTTTCTACTTCGGTGGAATTGGACCCGATAAGTTTCTAGGGTTTCGCTGTAAACGAGTAATCTTAGTGAACGGAGCAGAATTGATCTATCATTGAATTCAATTATCAGTTTTTTTTTGTGGGAAATTGTGTTAAAGTCTTCGTTTTTTTGTACCTTTAATCGATCCTGATGTTTTGTCCTCTCTTGTATCGTTGTTAGGTACCGAAAAGGAGAATTTCGTAGGGAATGAAGTGATTTCAGAGGGATGCATGTTGTGTTGGTTTTTTCATTCAAGAAATGGTTCTACATGTTATGTTTAGTGAAGTTGTAAGAGAATTTGAATATGAGCAATGGAGGTGGGGAAGGTGGAAGTCAGAGAAGAGAGTTACATGGGAAGAGAAAGCTTTTCCGAGGCAATGATTTCGCGTATGCCGTAGCGAGGATGGCAGTGGCACAGATATGCGAAGGTGTAGAGATTAATGTGTATCAAGAATCACAGGCACGCGAGGGTGGTAGGTTTAGTTCTTTTCAAGAATCTGCTCTTGAGACAATAACCGATGTAGCGGTTCAGTATATACAGAGCATTGGGAAGACTGCTCAGTTGTATGCTAACGTAGCCGGTAGAGTAGAGGGTAATTCTCTGGACATTGTCCAAGCATTGGAGGATTTGGGATCTGGTTTGGGTTTTGCTGGTATTTCAGATACTGACCGTTGTCTTGCTGATTCCGGTGTAGTCAAGGATATTATTCGTTATGCTGGAGAAGCGGAGGATATGCCATTTGTGTATTCTCTTCCCCGTTTCCCGATTAACAAAGAGAAAAGACAGGCTCCTAGTTTCTTTGAGGTTGGAGCAGAACCTCCAGATGAACACATCCCTGTTTGGCTTCCTGCATTTCCTGAAACGAAAATGTGTAATCGATCAGAGGAAACTAATGTAGGCACAACCGAAGGAGAAGTTCCGAGTAAAGAGAATGGGTCAACTTTATCGATTGTGCAACATTCTGTCGATGGTGGTAGGTTAGAAATTCTTAAATCTCCAAAGGATGTTCAAATGCCACCAGAAGGAGAAGGAATTGTGGAAGGTAACCCGTTTCTAACCGCGCCTCTTCGATTAGTGGAGAAGGAAGTCTCACCTGTGTTCCGCCCTTTGGAGCTTTCAAATGAAGTTGTTAGCATCAACGACGTTCTTGATAAGCATATGAGCAACAACCATCACATCCCAGTTCTTGAGGCATCTGCTCCATTGGATGAGATCAATAAAAAGAACAGGTTAGCTGACGAGGATGGAGAGAAGAAAGATGGTGCAAGAAATTTGGTACGTTTCAAGCTGGGGACTATAAAAAGACCGACATGTTTGGCAAAAAACCGGAGCTTCCAGGAACAGGGTTGGTTTCAAGAAGGTGAAGACAGGAGGGAGAAAAGCTTAGAAATTGAAGAAAAGTGCAAAAGAATCGAATCCAGAATTGTCGACTCCGATGTAAAATAGGTATTATGTCATTTTAGAATGTGTAGACAGAATAGCTTTGCATCCTGCGTTTTTCCAATTGAATACGTTACTTTGTAGGGTAAGAAATTTTTACTAATTCAAAATGATGGAGAAAGAGAAGGTTCCTTGCTTTGTCTCTAACTTTATTTGCTGGTGAAAGATCATTTGATTGATCAATTAATATGCTCTTAACGTTAAACAAAATATAGCACCTTGAGGTATATGGATAACAAGTATTAAGCTTAAATACTGTTATTACTAAT